GGCGGCGGCGGCAAGTATCCCCATCAAAATTTGCACATAATATGAGAGTAATACAAAACTCGCAGCACTCAACAACTGAGAATAATTTGCAAAATTTGCGAAAACTGACAAAATCAAAAAGGAATTAAAATGCAAGTCACAAAAATATTTAATACTTCTCGTACGTAAAATACAGAGAGAGAGAACGAGAGAATGAGTGCACTTCACACAATGCCATCGAAAAAACAGCAACAAAAACAACAATATACCAAAAAATGTACATACTTACGAGTGAACGAGAAAAAAAAAGCATATTTGCAAACACGAAGATGTAAAAAAAAAAAACAAAACTACAAAACCAGTCCAACTAGTTTAAAAGGGGAATGGACTCCAAGTGGTGATAAGACATACATACACAACAATAACAACTATTAAAAGCAAAAACACATATGAAACCAACCAAACAACAACAAAAGTGACAAGCAGAAAAAAAAGTTCACGACAACGAGACGAATGAATCCAATAGCAGACAGACGTTTGGTTCCTTTTATTTTATTTGGGGGGGGGAGACCCCAACCAACAACATCGAACAAATCCTATAGACAATATAAAAATGCAAGTATGAAGGTTGTCTGTTAAACGTTTAATGGTAAGTATAGCAGGCATGTTTGACAAGTTTGTTGTTTGATTTGGTTGGGTTGATGTTGTTTGGGTTGTTTGACCGGTTGGTTTGGAGAGGCCCCCAAAAACCGTATAATATAAGTATGAATGATTTGTTGAATACACACAATTACAATTATTAATAAGTTGGGTGTTTTATTTATAAACTCATAGTCGTCGTTGTCGGCTTCTTCGTCGCTGTTGTCGTTAGGTTGGTTGGCTGGCTGTCAGACAGACAGGCCGTCGTAAAACAAAACACCAACATGATTGTATGTGTTGTGATGTTTGGTATGCATTTTTGTTTCGTTCGTGTGTAAAAACGTTTTAGTTTAACAGTTCATGCCGATGAGTCAAGGTCGAGAGACCGTATTTAACGTCACGTAACGTCATGCGAATTATTTTGTATCTTATTTTGTTGTTGTTGTTGTTTTCTTCTTTACAACCACACTTGTACCCATACCAAGAAATAAATACATTTTTATTTGTACAACAAAAAAAAATGAAAAGAAAAAATTCATTTTCAATTCTCATAGATATTTTTGAGTTTTTTAGCAGTTAGCGAGCGTGTGAGTTGAGTGTTTACATACAGATAGATAATAGTAGACTAAAAATTAAATGAAACGAGTAAGACAAAAAAAAAAAAAAACAAAAAAAAACTTGTAAAAATATTTTTAGTTAGGGAATGGAATATTTTTAGAATACTATTTATTTACTCGGTTTTTCATTGTTGTTTTTTTTTTTTGTTCGTTTGTGATAACAGAACCACCAATACATACTTTTTTTACACACTGAGAGAAATGATAAATGTGTATTTAATTTAAATTTTATGCAAACTGGTGTGTGGAGACTAAACGAACATAAATTATTGATAATAATTGACAGTTGAATTTACATTAACATAAGTTGGTGATCAACAATGTTTAAGATTTTGTTTTCTTGGACCAGCACTCAGGGAATGGTGCCTGGTTGGTAGTGCTGTAATATTCTACTACTTTTGATTACTCAATACTACTCAATACTTTTCGTTTGGGTACTCAATACTACTCGATACTTTTAACGGTTTTATTTTAAATTAAAAACGAGGAATTTTTCCTTTTTTTAAGTAAAGTTAGACCAGACATCACACCTCTTTTGAGACATTTTATTTTTTTAGATAGCGTCGATAAATATTTGTAACTTTTTAACTATTATTGCAGTGTTTAAATTATTTTTACATTGATTTGATATTGCTAAGAGTTGCATTTCTAATAATGATATGGTCTATATTAGATTTTAGAGCTGTATTTTTTCACATCATAGCCGTTAAATTTAAATAAGTTAAATCCATATACAAGTTTGAAAGTATTGAGTAACTACTTTTTAGTATTGAGTACCCAAAAAATAGGGCAAATACTCGATACTCGATACCCACTACTCAATACTTTAACAGCACTACTGGTTGGTTGGTTATGGTTTTAGTTCACTACGCGCCAATAGTCAAGTAAAGTCGAAGTGACTCTGTTTTGACAAGGGCACTTCAATCGTTAAATTGAATTAGATCCAGCCTGTAGCCATGAGGAATCTCAGGTCATTAAGTTTAGACCCATATCTAACCAAGGATATGAATTAACTACCAAGGAAACTGTTGGTTGACTTTTGGAAGATCTTCCCTTCCTTTTTTTACCTTTAAAGGGGAGCCTAAACCAACTCACAAGTCAGTCTAGCATCCAGTGTCCATTCTCCATAAGTAGAATGGACGCTTTTTATGCAATGTATTGTGTTGAAACTGAGAAAGTAGTTTGTGGGAGGGAGTATAAAGGAAGTAGCTATTTGTGGACATTCGATTTAAATCTTTTTACATCGAAAGTGGAAGGATGTTTGTTCCACATACGAACAAAGCGGTGGAAGAATGCATTTTCCTTGTAATACCTATAAAGTCCACTAGACAATCGACCACAAATAAGAAAATTGATTTAAATGAAATATCCAAACCAACATTTTCTTTGGGATTCCATCAAATCGCCTTCACTCTATTATGGAGTTGCCTTCATCTAAGTATTTACATTTATAAAACTCGCATCTCTCGTTAATTATGCTATCAGTATGTAAATCCCAAAAGGGATCACTACTTGTTGTGCATAACTTGATAATGTGCTTCTGAAGTTCAGTTATTAAATGGATAGTACCTCAAGGGGTCATTGACAGAATATCATACCAAGATTATGAAGCATGAATCATGGGGGATAGAACTGGTTGTGGGTGGATTACTTCGGCTGTTGAAAGTCTCAGAAGTTCGTGGAAATTACTATGTACATCACCGTGATATCTGAACAGAATTAGACAGCAGAGTCGTCCCCCATCTACTCATATGGACTAGTGTAACCTCATGTCCACATGAGGCTAAAGTCTCCAAACTTCTCAGTCAACTTGTTGATATTAGCATAATTGCGTCGAAGTTTAAGTACTAAACGTTCTAGACGTTCTTCAGCGTAGTTGTTAGATTTCACTAAGGTTCATGCCAGGTTTAGGTGGCTTGAACGACGTGATAGAGAACTAGGTGTAGATGATTAAATATTCTTGGGGAGAGACTTGAACTGTTCAGAAGTTTGAGTAGATGACTATGTACTATATAAGAGAAGCATAATCACCCCTATTCCCGAAACAATATTTTCTTTCCCTTCTTGTGAAATTTGTGTGCAATTTTGTAAACATTGATCAGCTGTTGTGAAAAAAGTCAACTAGATATTGCGAACGAGTTGTTCACGATAAGTACACCATTGCAAATTTGACTTCTATTGGTGATAGGTGTGCATATCACGGTACTAACTGAACGCAGACGGATAGACCAGTAAAACCAGAGATCAGATCCATAGAAGATATGGTGTCAAAGCTTGTGCAAGCTTGTCTAATGCCTAGTGACAGCCCAACAAAATAGATAGGGCACATTATGGCGGCCGGAAATCCTTGTTATTGTTGGCTTAGTTGAGGGAGAGGGAAAGATTCGAAGTCATTTCATACAATGGTGAAGTGAACGTTTTCAAAAAGCGTAGGCAAATTAGAACGATTAGAAGTCTTCTTTTTCTGGTGAAGCGAGCAGAGGAAATTCTGACTAAATAATAAAGAGATATATCAAAGAAACTTCTAGCTGATCATCCCAAGGCTTCTCCAAAGGGGTTGATTAAGGTTAACGGAACTGAAAGTTTCCAACCTACTACAGAATCGGCACGGAAACACTGAGTATTAGTGTTGCAGATTCGTTTGGTGCTCATAATGGTCCTCGGAAATTGATAGTGCTTTAGATGGTCCGTCAACTAAAAATATGAAAGAAGTCTAGAAGTCTGTATTTACAAAAATTTTAACCATGTTTTGGTTTCTATATTCCTAGGGCTAGTTTGTTCATATCCACTTTTTCTTTGAAGCAGTTTAGTTTATATACTTCTGTAACGATTTGCATTTAGGTCACATTGGCAAATGTTAGATATTGTAAAAAACTTTCTATAAACTATAAAATATCTACACTTATAATAAAAAAATCTTTTGTGGGACACTGTAAAAACAAATTCTATGTAAACAAAGAATAAAGAAGAAATCTTTTCAATTGTAATAATTTTGGAAAAAAAACACACACACACACACACACAAAATGTCTACAACTAATTTCTCCATAAAAAAGGCACAGACACATTCACATGAATCAATTAACAGAAAACAACTTTAATTCTAGAGTAATTTAGAATTTATCCCACTATAACGAAAAAAAAAAACTTTTACTTAAAAGAAAATATTTTAAATGAAGAAAAAAGTTAAGCAAGTTTGTGATGATTAATTTTGTGCTTTTGAATAAGTAGTTTTATTATTACATTTTTATTTATAATTCCATTTGTATGCTTTGGTAAATGTAATTTTAATTAGTTTTTTTTTTTTTTTTATTAAAAAATATACATCATTTTTTGCAGTTTGCTCTAATTTTTTTCGTTTATTTTTCTGTCTACACTTTTATTTCTTTTTCTTCTCCACTTTAAAATTTTTTGTTATTAAAACGTATTGCATTTATTTTTGTTTTCTTTTTACGCAGAGAAATTTTAAGATAACTTTTATGGAGAGTAATCTAGAAGGAAAAAAAACTCTCACGAAAATTGAGTACGAAAAAAAAGCACGTGCTACTAATTTATACAACACTGTTAAAGAAGAAACATTCACTGAAACATACACACACTTAGAGAAAACTTTACACTTTTATTTTATTTTAGTAATAGAGAGAGAGATAGATTATTAAGCTCTCTTCTATTGGTGTTGCTATTATATTTATAAAAAGTTTTAAAGTTTTTGTTTTGCTTTTTTCATATTTAACGGCTGTTTAAAGAAAAAACAAACAAACTTACTCTCTGATTAACATATAATAAGGAGGATGGTGGCTGCTGCTGCTGTTGAAGATGCTGCTGTAAATGTATATGTTGTTGTTGTTGTTGCTGCTGTTGTTGTTGTTGTAATATAGTTTGTTTTCTATTACGTTTAGTATATGTTGTTGCCGTACTATCGTTAGTGGAACGTTTGCGAGATCTTTTTTGCGTTGTTGTTGTTGTTGTGGTAAAATTGTTATTATTATTGTTATTTGTGGCAGCTGCTGCTGCTTGAGCCGCAACATTTGCTTTTGTTGTTGGGGCTGCTGGTAGAGCTGTAGAGGCTTGTATAACCACCATAGAATTTGTTGTTAATTTCGGAAAATTTCTATGTTTCGAGGATTCGGTTATGGTTGAAGTCTCTATTAACGACATTGGTAATGTGAGAGACATAAGGATTGTTTTTTTTTTTTTTTTTGTGATTAATAAAACAAAGAGAGTTTTTTGTTGTTGTTGAGTGGGGGTTTACTCTCTTTTAATGTTATTTTTTTCTTTTTTTTTAGATATTTTAATAAGAGAGCATTTTTATTGAGTTTGCTCTCTTTTTATTTTCAAATTTCTTTTTAGAAATGCATTTTTATTTTGTTTTTGTTTTATAAATATGTTTGTATATGTGTGGTAGAGGAAACTAAACAGCTGTTTTTTTGTTTTTTCAACCGGCTTTATTGACAGCTGCTGCCGCTGCTGCTATTTCTGCTAATTGTGCTGCTATGTTTATTTGTGTAAATGTTTTATATATTTTTTTTTTGTTATTTTCTCATTGTTGTTGTTGTTTTTGCTTTAAATTTACTAGAATAATTTGTTTCTGTTATTTCGTTGTGTGCAAAGAAGAAAAATAATTATTATAAGAAAATTTTATATGTATTTTGTTGTTGTTTTTCATTATATTATACAATTTATTTGGTTTTATATTATATACATTTTTTATTTATATATTATATAGTTAATATATAGAACAGTTGATGACGTTATTTAAAGAATTTCTTTTAGGTTTTAAAGATTATTTTAAAAATTGTTTTATCAATTGTTGTTAAGGTTCACATTTTTGTTCTTTATTTATATTTTAAAAACTTTTTTAAAATTTAAAAAAAAAATTCTTAACATTTATGTAAATGTTACTTTTATTTTTCATTGTAATTAAACATTTCTTTTAATTTTTAACCTTTTTTTAGGTTTCTTTTATTATGCTTGTTTCTTTTTTCTTAATTTCCTTTATTTGCTTTTTATTTTTCACTTATTTTTATCTGTTATAAGAAAACTTAAGTAATGAACACACAAATTAAGAAAAATTGTAATAAATAAATAGAAAACACAAATCGTATGTATATTTAAAACACGTCACGTTTGTAAGTCGGAACATTTAGCACTGTTGTTGTGTGGTTGTAGTTGCTGCTTAAGCCAGTGCGCCTTAGACACCGTAACCAACAACAAAAACAATCAAACAAACAAAAACGACAACAACGGCGACGACGAATTCAAACCCAACCAACCAACCGACCGACAAAAAAAAATTAAAGGAGAACTCACTTAATATAGATTTCTTTGCTACTCTTAAGGTAGTGTTATTGTTGTTGTTGTTGTTTGTAGTAAAGTCCATAACCAAAAACAATAACAAAGACCAAACGAAAAAAAATGTACTACACTTTAATAATTGATGTTGTTGCTGACGTTAGGTTGAGGCTGCTGCTGTTGCAGCTTTGCGCCTTCGTTGTGTTTATGTTTGTTTGTTTTTTTGTTGGCTGTCGAATGTCGTGGTCGCATACACACACTCGCCTTCAATCAAACTTAAATACAACTAAAACAACAATAACATGAAGAAAAAAATTATAAAAAGAGTTTGTAGGTATGTAGTTCTTAAATTCTTGTTATTGCTAAAATTGTTGTTGTTGTTGTAGTTTTTAATTTTGCCCACAATCAAGGATGGAAAATTTAGTACTTTTGTTAAGATTTTTCTGACAATGAAAATAAATAAATATTAGTCCAAAGGCTAGACAATAGACTAGCCCATAGATTTGTCCATAACGTACCCAAATAAAAGTCATAGTCTAGATCATAGACTAGTCAAAAGATTAGGAGCTACATAGACAAAGCTAGTCCATATATTAGTCAATGTACTAACTCATAGACTTGTCCATAGCCTAATCAATAGACTATTTCAAAGATTAGTCCAAACACTAGTTGATAGACTAAGTAATAGACTAGTCCACAGACCAGTCAAAATACTAGTTGATAGACTATGTAATAGACTTGTCCACAGACCAGTTAAAAGACTAATCCATAGACTAGTCAAGACTATTCCAAAGATTAGTTGTTAACCTAGGTTATAGACAAGTCTATACGCCAGTCAAAAGACTAATACATAGACTAGTGCATAGACTACTTGAAAGACATCTCCATAGACCATTCAACAGACTATTATATAGACTAGTGATTAGAACAATCCAGTCTACTGTCTAGTCAAAAAACTAATCCAAAGATTATTCCATAGAGGTACTAGGCAATAGACTAATCCAAAAACTTGTTCCAAAGGCTAGTCCATACAGCAGTCATTAGACTACACCAAAAACCTGACCATAGACTGACTAGTCCTTAGATTTGGTAGAAACGCAAAACAGTTAACAGAATTGCTCAATATACCTCTTCATCGATTAGCCAATAGTCTAGTCCATAAACCACTAGTTAATAGACCGGTCCACAGAATTAATCAAAAACCCAAATATACTATTAATACAAAACCCTAGTACTATTTCAAAATTTCCGTTTTCCATGCCTGAACCACAATAATAAATAGTGGAGAGGCGACCGTTTTATGTTCACATATTTTTTTCTTCTCCATTTAGGATATTTTTTTAATATTGTTGTTGCTGTTTAACTGATTAAAACGAAAACCAACGAAAGCAAATACAAAGTGATGCATCGCGACTAGGCAAAAATGAAAATAAAAACACTCAAACACACGAAAACAAAAGCAACAAAAACACATTGTTTTATTTATTATTATTATTATTTATGAAACCAACACATAATACACAATCACTCACTCATTCTCTTCTTCTTTACTATTCTACTCTTTCTCTTCTCCATCCAACAAACAAATACTAACTGTTAATGTGAATGTTTTTTTTTTTTTTATAAAATATTTCATAAAATGGTGTTACTTTTTATTTAATTTATAAAAATTTGCTTTTGTTTATTTATTATTTGTTTTCTATTTAATATCACAAAAATACAAAATTAAACTACAACAAAAAATAAATTTTCTTTCAAACAACAACACTTTCTCACTCTCTAGACACAATCAGTGTTTATAATCAACTAAATTATTATAAACGTGCAAACAAACCAACAAGCAATCAAACAATCGAACAACCAAACAACCAACCGACCAAACGACCGACCGACCGACCTACCGACCATACTTTACGACTAAACGACCGACTTAAACGAACTTTTCTTGTAGTTAAATAACTCAAGTATGTAGTTGTTGCTGTGTTTATTTGTTTGTTTCCGATTCGTTATGGTTTTACTACTAACAACAACAAGCTGAAGGAAAAAAAAAAAAATAATATAATACAAAATAATATTAAATACTCGTTGTTGTACATAGAGAGATGTCGTCGTAGGTCGTCGTCGTCATCGCCATCATCAACATCATCTGCAACAACAACAATAATAAAAACGTTAATAACAACAACACTGCCACCTCTCTGTGTTTAATGTAAGTGAGTAAGTATGTGCCTATTATGCGATTTTTTTTCGCTGCTGCTTCTTCTTAGTGTTTTTATACAGATATTTTTTTTGCTTTTCTTCTTTGCAAATTTTTTTTTTTACTGCTGCTTCTTTTTATTATTATTGTTGTTGCTGTTTGATAAAAAAAAGGTTTTTATTTGTTATCGTTGTTGTAGCTGTCGTTTTAATATGTGCCGTGTTGTATGTTTGTGTATAGAAATGAAGCAAATATACAAACAGCAAGAAAAAAAAAATTAAATAAAAACGAGTTGATTACTTTTTGTTTTTGCTGTTGTCTTCCTCACTGTTTAAACGAGTAACGAGTTAAATTGAACTGAAACTGAAAAAAAAATCTTTCAAATATTTTTCTACACCATACCTACATACACACATAACCACACAACAACATTCGATTCGACATTAAGTACAAAATTTTCACTAATTGGAAAAAAAAAAATAATTTTCGTTGGCTGGTCAATCACAATTTCGCATGCAAAAAGAACTTTAAAGGAATTTTTGTGAAATTTTAAGGTTAAAAAAGAATTTTACATGAAAACCATGTCAATTTGTTATAAAAATTTCAAAATGTTTCTTAAAATCAAAAGAAATTTTAATTTTTTAACTGTTTTTGTAAAAAATTAAGAATTTTTTAATAATTACACCAACTGCTCACAGTAAATTGAATGGTTACCCTACCTAAGGCAATATAAACTTAGCGCTTTTGGCAACATTTTACAATTAGAAATACCTATGTATGTACATTTTCAAAACACCCTACTAAAGGCAACTAAAAACAGCATTCCATTAATAGGTACATTTTTAAGAAATATTTGAAAGTATTCCCGGTATGGGATGATTAAAGCCATATGCAAATTTGGGTCAAGTATGGAACCAGTTTGGTTAATAATATACATTATTACAAATTCAACTTTTTCTATAGAAAAATGCAACCGATTTGATAGAACTGTTATACATTGGTTTACTAGAGAAAAAATTGTTATATTCTATATTTCATAAAAAAACTGTTATACTCTGACATTCTATAAAAACTTTTTAAAAGTGAAAACTGTTATACAATAGTTTTCTACAGAAACTCCTAAAAAACTTGTATACTCGAATATTTTCATAGAAAAATACTGTTATACAAAAATCTTTCTAAAGATTATACCATAGTTTTTTTTAGAGAAAAACTGTTATATTCCAACATTTCTTCAAAAAAAACTGTTATACACAATTTTTTCTGAAGAAAAAAACTATAAAACAAATTTTTTCCAAAGAAAAACAGCTATGCACAATTTTCTAAAAAATAAACCTGTTGTTTTTCATAAATTTTTCTAAGAAAAAACTGTTATACACAACTTTATCTAAAGAAAAAAAATTTGTCTAAAGGAAAAACAGTTATTATACATTAATTTGTCTATAGAAAAAACTGTTATAAAGAAAATTTTCAGAAAAAACTATTATACTCTAATTTTCTTAAAAAAACACAAATTCAAAGAAAAACTGTTATACACAAAATTTGTTTAAAGTTAAACTGTTATACACAAATTTTTCTATAGAAAAAAACTAGTATAAAAGATTTTTTGAAAAAAACTATTACGCACTAATTTTTCTTAAGAAAAAACTGGTAAGCAGTAATTTTTCTAAAGAAAAAAAACTGTTATACACAAGTTTTTGTAAAGGAAAAAACTGTTATACATAATTTTTTCTAAAGTTAAACTTTTATAATTAAATTTTACTAAAGAAATGATCTCTTATACATACATTTTTCTAAGAAAAAAACTGTTATACATAAATTTTTCTAAGAAAAAGTCTGTTATACATAACATTTTCTAAAAAAAAATTGTTATACAAACATTTTTCTACAGAATAAACTGTTATACGCAAATTTTTCTAAAGAATAAACTGTTATACACAAATTCTTCTAAAGAAAAATCTGTTATACATAAATTTTTCTACGAAAAAAACTCTTATACACCAATTTTTCTAAAGAATAAACTGTTATACACAAATTCTTCTAAAGAAAAAAATGTTATACATAATTTTTTCTAAAGTTAAACTTTTATAATTAAATTTTTCTAAAGAAAAAAACTGTTATACATAAATTTTTCTAAGAAAAAATCTGTAATACCTACATAATTTTTTCTAGGAAAAAAATGTTATACACAAATTTTTCTAAGCAATAAACTTTTATAAACAAATTCTTCTAAATAAAAAAACTGTTATACACAAATTTTTCTTAAGAAAAACTGTTATACACAAATTTTTCTTAAGAAAAAACTGTTATACATAAATTTTCTACATGAAAAACTGTCATACAGTAATTTTTCTACAGAAAAAACTGTTATTCTCAAAAGGAAAACTGTTATACAGTAATTATATATAAAATAAACTGTTATAATCGGATAACTTTTATTTAAAAATCTGTTCTACACACATTTTTCTAAGGAAAAATACTGTTATACTCTAATTTTTCTAAATAAAAACTGTTATATACAAAATTTCTAAGGAAAAAACTTTTTCACAAACATTTTCCAAAGAAAAAACTGTTATACACTTTTTTCTGAAAAAAAATCTATATAAACTCTTAAACTTTCAATAATTTATTCTAAGAATAAAAACTGTTATACTCTGAAATTTTAGGGAATTTTTACATAAAAACTCAAAATTTTCTTGTAGGGTAAATAAAATTCGTCTAATAGGTATTTACTTTTAATTATAAATTCAACAAAACACTATTTTTAAATATTTAACACTCACACAATATTTTTCTTTAATTTGCACACAATATCAAACTTTATATAATTTTTGTTGGTTTCAAATATTGATTTAATTTATAATTAAAGTTAACAAATTATATTATTAAAAGTTGTATTAAAAACTATTCTTTGTTTACATTTCACATCAAAATGTGGCTGTTTATATTGAAATTCCTTTTTAATTAGTTATTCAATTAAATGCTTAAGTTTTTTTTTTTTTTTAACTTTAAAATTATTGATTTTATTTCTTTATGTCACACACTTGAGTGAAAAAAAATTCTTCAAATTTTTTTTTCCTTTATAAATTTCTATTACAACGAAGAAAGAAATTCTTTAAATATGCACACCTTTTATTATTTAAATAATAATTTTTAATTGTGTTTATTTATAAATATAGAAAAAAAAAACTGTATACTTTTTTTTTTGTAATAACAACAACATAATTATTTAATTATGTGTTAATTTAATTTTATTTTAACTTGATTTCAAGCAGAAAAAAATACTTTACACTTATTAAAACGTACGAGAGAAAAAAAACACTGTTTTTCTTTTGCTTTAATTTTTCTTCTGCTGCTTTTGCTTTTTTTTTATTATTTTTGTTTGTCTCACATTTTATTATTTAGTAGTACAACAAGAACAAGCATGTACGAATGTATGTACTCTACATACATACATATGTACAATATAGTTAGTATACATACATATGGATGTTTTTATTGTTGTTGTAAGTATATAAATTAAAGTGACGCAAAAAAAAATTGTTTTTTAAAGACGAATAAATAAAATCCACAGAAAACCACACGGTATCATGCTCTCAGGGCAACTGAAAATAAGCTCTCTTTACCAATGCCGTTATAATATAATTTTTTAAGTGCAAACAAACGCAACAACGAAAACAAAACGAAACATTAAAAGCTACAAAAACATCCAAAAGCAACAACAACAACAACCACAACATTATTAAGAGTGGAAAAATAAAAGAATCAAGTCGCACAAAAACAAAAAAAAAAACAAATATTATACACGAAGCCACCAACAACAACATCAGCATAAACATCATCTCCTTCAATCATCATCATTATAATGAACTTTTTACAACAAAGCAAAAGGAACGTAAGAAAAGAAAAAATTATTAAAATGAATTATTTTTTTTAGATTTTTGCCAAAACCCTTGTACTTTTTTTTTACCAACATTGATTAAATGAGTGTAATTAATACCTATAAAGAAAAGTTTTAAACCTTTTTTATCTCTTTCGGTGTAAGTTTAATTATATTTTAAACTTAAATTATTTTAAACAATTTTATTTAAATTTGTTGTTATTGTTTTTTTTAATACACATTTTAACAGATGGTTTTTGTTGTTGTTCTAGTGCACATTCACTCGGTTGGTCGCTTCGGCTCACACGCGCTTTTTACACTAACCGTTTATTTAGTTGTTGTTGGATACACCCAAAAAAGCATCCATCCGTTGTCGTTTGAAAATTTTCAACAAAATTAAAACAAAAAAACATTTATTGTTGTGTTTTCGGAAGCATTCATTGTTGGAAGAAACACAACAGAATCGAACGAAATTAAAAAACATATTCGTCGTTACGACGTTTGCAGAGGTGCTGTGCTGATGATGATGAAGAAAAAGAAAAAAAAAATAACTAACATAAATCTTGTCTTGTTTGTTTAATTCATAGCAGGCGCACAGAAATTTTAGTTAGCCAGAGAGGAACAACACATACTGACTATAAATATGAGGGAACAACAACAACGACCAGAAAATATACAGAGCAAAAAGCTCTCAAGAGAGTAGAAAAATAATATTGAACAAGAAACTAAACAAAAAAATAAAATCATGACAATAAACAAACAGGTTGAGTTGTCAAGTAAGCGATTTTAATACAAATATTGGCGATTTTTGCAAAGGTTTTGTAATATGTAACTGTTTTATAGAGAAATTGTTATACATAATATAGTTTTTTAATTGAATTAACTGTTATACAGCAGTTTTTGTATAAATACAGATTATGTTCTAGAGAAAAAACTGTTATACACAGATCCTTCCATAGAAAAAACTGTTATACAACAGTTTCTATAGAAAATTAACGTTATATTAAAGTTTTTCTGTAGAAAAACTCGTTAAAACTCTAGTTTCTGTATAGAGAACACTGCTATAGATTAATTTTTTCTATAGAAAAACTAATAAATAGATTTTTCTATAGCAATAACTGTTATACAACAGTTTCTGTAGAAAAATATCGTTATACTACAGTTTTTCTGCAGAAAAAAACTGTTATAATTTAATTTTTGTATAGAAAACACTGTTATGCCTAGACTGTTATACATACAAAATTTTTCTGTAAAAAAACTGCCCACTCCAGTTTTTCTTCAGAAAAAGAACAGTTGTACTCTACTTTTTGTATAGAAAATACAGTTTTATAGCGATTTATGTAGAAAAGACTCAGTTTTTTCTCTAAAAAAATCTGTTATACACAGGCTTTTATATAGAAATAGCTGTTATACACAGATTTTTTTTAGGAAAAACTGTAATACGCAAGTTTTCCAGTAGAAAAAACAGGTATACAGAGATTTTTCTATAGAAAAAAACTGTTATACACAAATTTTTAAAAGAAACCTCTGTTTTTCTGTAGATAAAACCGTTATACTCCAGTTTTCTGTAGAAAAAACTGTTATAAAAGGATTTTTCTGTATAAAAAACTGTTATATAAGGATTTTTCTGTAGAAAATACTGTTATACAAGGATTTTTCTGTAAATAAATAATAAAGCTGTTATACAAAGGGTTTTCTGTATAAAAAATGTAATACACAGTTTTTTCTATAGGAAAAAATGGTTATACACAATTTTTTTAAAAGAAAACTGTTATATATAGGTTTTTCTGTAGAAAAAAACTGTTATACAAAGATTTTTCTGTAGAAAACACAGTTATACAAGGATTTTTCTGCTGATAAGTTTGTTATATACAAGTTTTTCTGTATAAAAAACTGTTATACAAAGATTTTTCTGTAGAAAAAGCTGTTATATAAGGATTTTTCCGTAGACAATACTGTTATACAAGGATTTTGTTTGTTTGATTTTGCTGATAAAGTTGTTATATACTCGTTTTTCTGTAGAAAAACTGTTATACTAAGGGTCCTCTGTATAAAAAACTGGTTTTCCTGTAGAAAAAACTGTTATACAAAGGTTTTCCTGTAGAAAAACTGTTATTCGAAGGTTTTTCTGTAGAAAAAACTGTTATACAAAGGTTCTCTGTAGAAAAAAAGTGTTATTCAAAGGTTTATTTGTGGAAAAAAACTATTATCCACAGGTTTTTCTATAGAAAAACACAGATTTTTCTGTAGAAAAAATAGTTACATACACATTTTTTTTAGAAAAAACTGCTATACACATGTTTTTATCTACAAACGACTGTTATACACAGATTTTTGAATAGAAAACTATGTTTTTCTGTAGATAAAACTATTATATTCCAGTTTTTTTCTAGAAAAAACTGTTATACACAAATTTTGCTTAACAAACAACTGGTATGGTTTTTGCTAGTGTAACCAATGGTTTGATAGCTCTCGATATTTCTAAGACTTTTCGAATACATTTTATAAGAAATGAAATCCCATCAGATGAGACTTTTTACCCACTCAAAAACTCTATTCAGTTAATTTCAAACTCTATAGAGTTAAATACAAAAAATATCATAAAAATTTCATTTTGTCCAGCCTTATGAAACAATCCTCGTAACATTCACTAAAAAAATTTGAGGTTAAAAACTGCACTTTTCATCTGAAGCGTTTTTTTCGCTTTTGCATCATTTTGGCGTTTATTCAAACATATCTTCGCTAAGTTGACAACCCCCAAAGTTGATACGAAACAAAAATGAAAATTTAATAAAAAAAATTAAGAGCAGGAGGAGTAAAAGAAGTCAAATAATGGGAGGAAAATAGAAGCAACAAAAAATGTAAGGGGTAAAATAGAACATTTGACACGCAAGTAGTTGAGGGGGGATAATGTAACTCTCATCCTGGTGGCATAAATTTTCTAACAAAAAAAAAAGGAAAATAGAAAAAAATAACAAAACAAGTGAGAAAAAAAAACTGGAAAAGACTTTAAAAAAATCCATATTCCAAGGAAAAACTTAAAGAAGACATAACAAATCAAATGTCATTAATAAAGTAACGGCAAGAGGATGTATGGATGACAATGGCTGACGATTATTTTAATTTTAAACATAATCATACAAACAAAGAAATAATTAATTTAATTATAATTATTGTTAAAGTTGCCTCTAAAAACATAAACAAAAGTTCATTCCTCTATATAAATAAAATAACCATGAAAAATTGTTTAAAACAAAAATGCAACAAAAAACAATCTATACAAATAATAAATTAATAAGTCTATGTGTGTAAAAATGTGTTGGTGTTGTTGAGTAGTGATGGTGTGGTGTGTATTGCAACTAAAATACAATATTTAATTTATTTTATAAATTTTTTGTTAAATTCTTTGTTGTCGTTGATTTTGTTTTATTTTTGTTTCTCCTCCTTCTTTTCCTTTGCCTCTTTCAGTTTTTTTTCATTAAGTTTATATGTATGTAACGTATTTCTACACTTTTTTTTCTCAATTCTATTTCTTTTTTTTTTTCATTACAATTTCCATTTTGCAACAAAGACTACAAAACTTCATTATCTTCAATTTAGTCAGTCGGTATTTTTTTTCTGTTGCGGCTGTTGTTGTTGTTGTAGTGATATGACCATTACAAACTGATTTTGTTAAGCTTTAAATACTTTACAGATAGAGAAACTAACAAACAAACAAATCACAAAAACTAGTTTTTTCAGTAATAGAACTTTTTGTTGTTTCTTTTATTGTTGTATTAACAAAATTACAGTTACTAAATGTTTAAAATATGCCTGCTCTAACTAAAGCTTTGTATATGTTTGACGCTTTGCAAACACAAAGAACATCAACAACAACAACAACAAACAGTTAGACATTGACACTAGTCACAACAGCAACAAAAATAACAACAATGGCTTCAAAAAATATTCTACTAATAATGTTGCAAAAACTACAAAATTAAGCTAAAATATGTTAGAATAACAACAACAACGAAATTAAATCATGTAAAGTCATTGTCCGATATTTGGAGAGTTACAGTGGAGTGTCCAAAAAGCGAATTAAAGGTAATAAGATATAGATACATATTTGATATAGATACATATTTGAACGCTAAAGGCCTGTTGTTTGCTGGTGGGTGTATCATCCTTAAAGTGGAATTATCTTCCGATGATTCAGTATCTTAGCCTTCTGGATGAATTCCTTGAAATTTTCCATTCAAAATTTCTTTGGAATGTTATCGTTATGATATCGCTCCCAAAGAGTTTGGATATGATTTTGGACAAAAGCTTGGCAATGGCAGAGAAATCGGTGTTTCACTATGAAAAGCATAACAGCTTTACGTTAGTCATATTTCATAGGTGTCATGGTCATTTATGACCAGAATACCGACAAGGTATGATTGGGCCGTGAACACTGTCTAATGAATGAGGTGATCTCAATCTACACTGATGGTTCAAAGACAGAAAGGGGCACGGGCTCGGTAATCTTCTGCGAAAAGAAAAACTGAATCTTTCGCTGTCTCTTCGACAACCTGACACATTCACGGCAGAGATATATGCCATCGATACAGCCGCAAGAAGAATCCGGGAACTGAATCTCGAAAACTCGACTGTATATATATATATACTTGCACAGCCTTGCATCAATCAAGGCTCTTAACTCCAATGTTATTAAGTCGAAATGTCTTCTCAATTGAATTCAATCATTGGCACAACTGACACAACATCACATTGAGTTTTTATGGGTTGTAGGACATGAGGGCATCCGAGGAAATGAAACATCTGATAAATGAGCAAACAAAGGATCGTCCATAGACAGGGATATTCAAACACCCCAAGTGACCCTATCAAAATTAATCGAGGATTGGGCAGAACTCATGTGATCAAATATCACCATTTGTAGAATATTGACACTGCTCCAGGCTTTTCACCATGAACAACACTCATTCTATTGACTGCCTCAGCCACTCTGTCTATCAATCATCAATCAATACATCAATCATCAATTCTATCTATCCTATCTATCTATCTATCTATCTATCTAATCTATATATCTATTCTATCTATCTATCTATCTATCTATCATATCTATCTATCTATCTATCTATCTATCTATCTATTATCCTATCTATCTAGCTATCTATCTATCAATCTATCTATCTATCTATCCTATCTATCTACCTAATCTATCTCTCTATCTATCTATCTATCTAGCTATCTAATCACTATCTATCTATCTATCGATCTATCTATCTATCTATCTATCGATCCTAATCTATCTAATCTATATCTATCTATCTATCTATCTATCTATCGACATCTATCTATCTATCTATCTATCGATCTATCTATCTAATCTATCTATCTATCTATGCTATTCTATCTATCTATCTATCTATCTATCTATCTATCTATCAATCACAGCACTCAACATCAATCAATCACTCTATCTATCTATCTAATCCTATCTATCTAGCTATCTATCTATCTAACTATCTATCTAGCTATCTATCTATCTAATCTATCTATCTATCAGCTATGCTATCTAAGCTAATCATATCTATCTAATTCTATCTATCTATCTATCTATCTACTATCTATCTATCTATCTATCTAATCTATCTATCTATCTATCTATCTATCTATCTATCTATTATCTATCTACTATCTATCTATCTATCTATCTATCTATCTATCTATCTATCTATCTATCTATCTATCTATCTATCTATCTATCTATTATCTATCTATCTATCTATCTATCTATCTATCTATCTATT